AAAAAAAAAAAAAACATGATAAAAACAAAGAGTTTTTTTTTTTTTTTATAGATTTGCAACCCATATGCGCCTTACTATTGAAAAACTTGATCAAATTGAAGGAATATGTGTTCGGCTGGAATTGACTTGCAATAAATCCCTCTTGCAACAAGCACAACAATCATTATATTTATCAAACAAATCAAATATAAGAGGAAATGATTGAAAATTAATGGAGATTTATAACCACCTATTATTCTATAGCTTTATGTCATCAAAGTCACTCCTCTTCATGTAGTGGTTGGCTTAAACTATCATTAGTTGCCACCTATATTTAAACCATGGTAAAATAGGACATTGTTATAGGATAAATAAAGAAAAGATGCACTAAAGTCCAAAAGTCATAAAAATAATTAATAAGTTAATAATTTCACCTTCTCCTTTGTCTTTCCACAAGTCCTAGCATCGTGACCTTTGATATCACACATGCTACAAGTTCGTGTCCTTGCTTGAGATGCTTTTTGTGACACTTGTTTTCCAAATGGAATCCTACCAAGTTCTCTTGGTCGACCTTTGGTTTTAGCTCTTTCCGGATCACGAATTGTTATATTACTCAAAATTGCACCTTGGGAGATTGCTGAAGTGCTAGCATTTTGTTCAAGAACCAAACCTTCATATTGCTTGTTAACTCTATCTAACTGCTTCATCATATCCTCTAATAATGGTACCATAGCATTGTACTGATCACGGTGTCCTATTGCTTGTTCATGCACTTCCATAAATGATTTTCGAAGATTCCATGATTCCAAAGGAGAAACCACTAAATCTTTTGATACAGTACTTGATTCACACGCAGTCTTTTTACTATGTTGCCTATAAGTTAGGGTCCATCTAACCAAAATGTAGCATTTAGGAATCTCCTTCATTCGATGACATAGCTTCATAATGTATAAAATGGGCTTACATAATATACCAACAGTCTCAAACTTCCCACATATACAAGCAAATTCCTCAACTGATGGTCCACATCGTACAAATTGTGAATCAACCATCTTTCCCAACCCATAAGTAACAACATATGTGGTCACCTCGTCACAAGTGTTCACTTCATCATGCATACAATAGAAACATGCTTTAAATTCACTTTGAAATTTGTCAAAAAATTTTCTAGTGTATATATTTCCCACTTGGACTTCAATAAGATGTAAGTTAAGGGGATTTGGCTTTACTTTCATGGTCTGCATGTCTTCATTCACTTCTTGATCACGCCAAGATTGTAATGCTCTAGTATATTGGCCAACAAACTCAGACAATGGAGTTTTAGAGTTCACATAAGCATCAAAAAATGAATTAATGCTCTCACTTCGTTGACTTGATCTCATTCCAGCAAAAAATGTGTCTCTCAAATATACATCAACCCAACTATATCGTTGTTCATACATGTTTTCCAACCACTTCCAAGACTTCATTTCATTATGTTGCTTATCAGTTAATGGCTTCACAAACTCATGCTTATATTTGTCTTTCAACTCTTTCCAAGCACTCTCAGCTTCTTCAATGGTTTTACTACTTTTTACCCACTTATAGTACTGTTCATCAAACCCAGGATTATATGATGATCTTAATGAACGAAGGTGCTCATCTGCATGAAGTGAGATGTGCCACATGCAAAACCTATGGGGTGTGTTCGGAAAGACCTTCTTAATAGCATTTGTGATTGTCGGGTCTTGATCAGTGATGATTGCACCTGATTCTTTACCCCCCATGCATGATAGCCATCGTTTAAGTAACCATACAAAAGTAGCTTCTGTCTCATCTGATAAAAGGGCACATCCAAATAGTGTTGATTGTCCATGATGGTTCACATCGATAAATGGTGCAAATGGTAAAAGGAATTGATTGGTTCAATATGTCACATCAAAAACCACAACATCACCAAAATGTTGATACATTTCCCTTACTCTCCCATCTACCCAAAACATGCTCCTACAAACACCATCTTCATCAAGCTCCATGCTATGGTAGAAATTTTCATCTGAGGCAGTCACCTCTAAGAATTGTTGCATAACTACCAAGCACTCACCACCAATGTTGCTTTCTCTTTTCTTCCTTAAGTGCTCTTGACATTGTTAGGGAGTAACATTTGAGTTACCTTGGCCTGTGACATTCAAGAGTCTTGCAATTTTTGAAGGTCCACACCTTGCTAACTTGTATTGATCCATTACCTCCCTTGTCTCCTGTAACAAATGTTCTTTGTTATGAGAGCGCAATTTTCTTATTTTATTTGGAAAGCTAAACAACTCGTGGTTATGTTCATCAACAAAATGGATGATGATCCAAACTCCATTTTTAAAGTGCAAAGACATTCGAGCCTTACAACCTACTTGGATTGGACGTTCACATGACGGTTTATATTTAGGCACGTAAGGTCTCTTCTTACCAGCCTTGTAGCAAACATAATATTTTCTATCAACAGGTCCATAAGAGGTGGATCTCTTTGATGATTCCGTTCGAATACTAAATCCCACTCTCCTAGCATATTCATTGTAAAACTCACGAGCTTCTTTCTCCGAAGGAAATTGCATCCTTTCATGAGGCATCCAACTAGTAATGTCATCTTCACCTGACATTTCTTCACATTCTCTAGCTCTTACCACATCATGAGAGGCAACAACACTTGTAATCTCTTGTGAATCATACTCATTCCTTTCTTGTACAATTGACAAATTGTTATTGTCAATATCAGTTATTAATTGCTGAACATTGATATCCTAAGACATTTTTTAAGCATCTGGAGAACACCTATAAAACAAACAAAGATGACAATAATTAAACTATAAAAAAATGGAATTTAAAACGTGAAGCATTTAAGGGTTTTTTTTTAGGAGCAATTACATGGTACTGATAAAAAAAATTTGCATAGAAAAAACTCCACCGAGACCACTTTTTCAAGAGGAATTTCTTAATGAAACTAATATAGGGACTCTGTTTTTTCAACTTGAAAACAGAGCATGCATGGTACTTTATACTTCATCTTCTAAGAATTAATACAATTTTTACTAGCAAAACAAATGGATTAAAATTCCATTTAAGAGAATCAATAAATTTCCCAAATAACCTCTAAAATTTAGTTGCTAAAAAACGAAAACCTTTTAAATTTTACACTTAACCAAATGAAATTTGTGGCTAAACAAGTAAAGAACTAAAGAGAAAACAAGATTAAACATGTATTTAATATATTAATTTCAACTATGAAAGAAGAACAACAATTGATCAAAGAGAACTAAGAAGCAATCAAATCAAACCTGTGAGAGATTACCGGAGTCAAAGGAAGAATAAGATGAAAAGAAATTGACGAAACTTCAAACAACGAACAAAATGCTCTCAACAATGCAAGAGAGAAATCATAGATGAAAAGAAATCACACATAAAGAAAGATAAATCATAGGGATTATGTTTGATGGAGGGGATGAAATAGGGAAAAAGGGAGGCAGAGCATTTAGGCGAGGATGGTGAAGGAAAACTAGGGAAGAAAGAACCCAAAATAATTTCCGCCCAAAACATGTGCTTAATATTAAAACGGCATCATTTTAATTCCACCCAAAAATTTGCAATACCGGCTGCAAACCAGTTTCTCGAATGTAATATGTATTTTTGTTTTTTAAATTTAAATAATGGACACCATTTAAA